CATGGTCTTTACCCCTCAGCCGAAGCCCAGCCTTAAGGAAATTTTTAAAAATCCAGAGAACAGAAACAGGTTCCTTTTTCCTCATCAGGGCCCCTGGGACACTGAACCAGAAATGATGTGAATGATCTGGGTGCGGGGCAAGCTCAGCGCTGACCCCTTCCTCCAGAAGCCCTGGGTTTCCGGATCAATCAGGACCCCTGGGCCTCCCCCTCCTCCCTGAGCTCCCCTGGTCCAGTCTAGACCACTCTGGATGATGGAAATGGCTCTCCCACCAGATGATCAGGCCCAGAAAGGTGAGGTCCAGCTTTGAAGGCCACCGCAGTGTCCCGAGAACCACCCCACAGAAGTCCGGGTGAAGAGGATGAACTTGGGTGAATGGAATGGATTGGTGGGTGGGTGGGTGAGTGGATAGATGGATGAGTGGGTGGGTGGATGGGTGAATACAATGGATGATGAGTGAAAGGAAAGCATGGATGGTAGATGGATGGATGGATGAGTGGATGGGTGAGTAGGGGGAATGGATAGATGGATGAGAGGATGGATGGATGATGGATGATGGAAGGATGGATGATGGATGATGGATGATGGATGTATGGATGATGGATGATGGATGATGGATGTATGGATGATGGATGATGGATGATGGATGATGGATGATGGAGGGGCTGGGGATTTAGCTCAGCAGCACAGCACTTGCCTGGCAAGCACAAGGTCGTGAGTTCAATTCCCGGTACCGGAAAAAACCCAAAAAAAAAAAAAAAAAAAAAAAAAGATGGATGATAGATGGATGATGGATGATGGATGGATGATGGATGATGGATGGATGATGGATGATGGATGGATGATGGATGATGGGTGATGGATGGATGATGGATGGATGATGGATGGATGGATGATGGAGGATGGATAATGGATGATGAATGGATGGATGATGTGTGATGGGTGATGGATGATGGATGATGGATGATGGATGATGGAGGGATGATGGAGGGAGGGAGGGAGAAAGGGAGGGAATGGTGGGTAGATAGATGAGTAAATAGGTGGGTGACCAGATGGATAAATAATAGGATGAATGGATACCCAAGTAGGTAGATGAAATGGATTTAGAGGAATAGAAGCAATGGGGGCTCACAGGGACCCTAAGTGGGGAACAGGACCCAGCGGGCCCAGGGCAGGTTGGGGTCTCGAAGGTGTAGGGATGTGAGGGGGCTCAGAGGGGGAAATAGGGACATAGGAGGGGGAGGTCCCAGGAAAGGGACAAGGGCTCAGGGAGGGAGGGAGGAGTTGGGGAGGGGTCTCAGGCGGTGGCCTGGGGCCCAGCAGGCAGCTGGGTTCATAGATGGGGCAGGGGGCACAAAGGGCTGAGGCACAGGCCCCTGCTGGTCCCTGCATTGGCTCAGGATCGAGGTGCGGGCCCAGACATTGCAGGGCGCATGGTGCACACTACGCGCCTTGGAAAGTGACCTACATGGGCCTACCGCCGTTGAAAGCCTAGGGGACCCAGACGTGTCCGGCCCTCACTCGAGCTGCAGATGGGACTGCGAAGCCCAGGGTGGAGGTTTCCCAGCCTGCCCCACGCTGCTTTTTTCTGGAATTTTCTTTTAGGTCCTGGCTACAACTTCACCCCAGGGCCCGCCCTCCCCACCCCTTCTCCTGGTACTGGGGATTAAACCTAGAGCTTCACACTGAGCTACACCCTCAGCCCTCTTTTCTATTTTTTATTTGAGACAGGGTCACACTAAGTAAGTTACCCAGGCTGGGCTCCAACTTGGAATCCTCCTGCCTCAGTCTCCTGAGTCCTGGGAGTACAACTATGCTCCTCTGCGTTTGGTGGTGCCCTTTCTATTGCCAAGTGGTGTCAGCTGTGTGGCTGTGCCCTGTAGTATTTGTCCCCACGCCTCTTGCGGTTGTTTCCACTTTGGGCCCAGCAGACAGTGGCGGAAGGCCTGAGTCCATGTGATGGCTGGACGGAGGCTTGAATCCCAGCCTCGGCCTCCAACGCAGAGTTCCCGCAGATGCCCAACCTTCCGGGCCTGGGGGAGAGTCTCTCCTCCCCAGGTGGGGGACAGTGACATGAGATGCTTGGCATTTGGGACACTCAGCCAGCACCTTCCCAGAATAGGGGTCTTGTAAACCCATCCCAGAGCAGAAAAGGGTGGAGTCAGGATCTGAACCCAGATCTGAGTCCAAATTGCAACTGTGAATCATTTTTCCAGCGCTTTCCACGGGTCAAGACCTGTGGCAAAGACCCACACCTGTGACCTTGCCAAGGCCCTCCCATCACAGGGAAGGGGAGCTGCTACACTGGCCTGGGCATCTGGGGAGGGGAGCCCTGCTCAGCCTTTGTTAGATGAAAGATTTTTCTTCCTGTCTCCAAGCCTGCAAGTTTGTGGAGTGAATTTACGTGAACACTCTACTTGGTATTCAGTAAGCACCTAATCAATGCAGCTGTTAGGATCTCCTATACCCCGCTTTACAGCCATGCAAACTGAGGTGCAAAGCAAGGTCAGAGCTTCTCTGAGGCCCAAAGAACTATGCAAGCTAGAAAACATTCATAATAGCCCCCAAATGGAAACAGCCTAAACATCTATGAGCTGACACACAGATAAATAAAACAGGGTACATCTATACCATGGAATATTACTCAGCAATAAAAGTGAAGCCCTGATACATGAAGCCTGAGGCTTCTGGCTGGAGCCAGAAAGAAAACAATACACATTATCTAATCCGTTTACACGAAGTGCTGACAACAGGCAAATGTCCATTAGAGGCAAAATGCAGTAGTGGCTGCCAGGGCCTGGTTGGCTGGAGGGAGGTGCAGGCTACATGGCCTGTGGTTTCTCTTCAGGGTAGTGACAATGTCCTCAAATTGGTGCTGGTGATGGTTGTGCAACTGTGACTATAAAAATGGTTAGCCAGGAATAGTGGCGCATGCTGGTAATCCCAGCACTCGGGAGGCTGAGGCAGGAGGATTGCCATGAGTTCGTGGCCAGCCTGGGCTACATAGTGAATTCAAGACCAGCCTTAACGGTGCAGTGAGACTCTGTCTCAAAAAAACAACAACAACAACAACAAAAAGACGAGACAGAAAAGACAGAAAGAGAAGGTAGACTATTGTGAGGCTGAGGATGTAGAGCCTTGCCTGGCATGCATAAGCCCCTGGATTTCAACCCTAGAACCTCAACATAAATAAATAAATAAAAGGAAGGGCTGTATCATTCCAGCTAGTCAGGAGGCTGAGGCAGGAGAATCAAAATTTAGAGCATAGCCAAGTGTGGTACATGCCTGTAATCCCAGCACTCAGGAGGCTGAGGCAGGAGGATCACTGTGAGTTCGAGGCCAGCCTGGGCAACATAATGAGTTTAAGACCAGCCTCAAGTGCGTAGTGAGACCCTGTCTCAAGAAAAAGCAAAAATGAAAAAGGGCTGCCAGCTGGGTGTGGTGGCACATGCCTGTAATTCCAGCACTTGAGAGGCTGAGGCAGGAGGATTGCCATGAGTTTGAGGCCATCCTGGGCTATATAGTGAGTTTAGGGCCTGCCTGAACTGCATGGCAAGGCCCTGTCTCAAAAGACTAAAAAAAAAAAAAAAAAAAAAAAAAGTAAAAGGGTTGGAGACATGGCTCAGTGGGTAGAGCATTCTTGGGTTCAATCTCCAGCACCACAAAAACATAGATAAAGGTAAGACTTATTAGGCAAGGGATATAGTTCAGCGGCATAGCACCTTGCTTGGCAAATATAAGGTCCTGAGTTCAACACCTGGTACCAAAAAAATAGTAAGAATTTTTAAAAAGAGGGTTGGGAATGTAGCTTAGTGATACAGTGCTTGCCTATTTAAAAAGAAAGACTATTGAATGGTGCACTTTATTTATATTTGGTTTTTTGAGATAGGTCTGGCTGTGTAGTGCAGGCTAGCCTTGGACTCATGATGTATTTGGAGGTCTCCTGCCTCAGCCTCCCAAGTGCTAAGATTAATAAACTGGTGCCACCATGCCTGGCTCGAACGACACACTTTAAGTGAATGGGTTCTCTGCCATGGACATCGTATTTTGACAAAGCCAATTGTGAATAACGGGTCACAATCTGAAAAGAACCCGGGGCTGGGGATTTAGCTCAGCGGCAAAAGCACCTACCTGGCAAGTGCAAGGTTGTGAGTTCGGTTCCTGGTACCGGAGAAAAACCAAAAAAAAAAAAAAAAAAAAAAAATCTGAAAAGAACCCATCAGAGTACCCACGTAACTCATGCAAAGTCCTACAAATCCTTGTTCCCATCTCCTCCGCTGTTCTGCATATCAAAGACATAGGAAGCTCCCTTTGGGGGGGGTAAAGCATGAAGGCCAGAAGGGAAAGGGATGGCAGCCCAGAGCGGGCCAACTTCCTGCCCAGGGCCACGCAGCGTGGCCCCGAGGCTCCACACGTGGGTGGGTGCGTGCGTGAGGCTCCATCCCTGGCCCCAGTGCTGACCCCTGGCTGCCTCCTCTTTCTGACTTCTCAGGGAGAAGAATAAAACACAACACAGGCCAGGAAGCATCCATCATGTGCTGTCCAGCGGAGGCCGGAGGGGCAGGGGTCAGCAGCGAGGTGACCTCCAGGTCTCCATGGGGACCAGGATCCGGCGGGGCTGGGGGTGAGAGGCTGGAAATTTTCCCACCCTGAGATTTTTCCTGTGTCAACCCAGGAGGGCGCCCTGGATCCGCCAGCCCTACCCCCAACCTCCTTCCTCTCTCAGCTCGGCTTCCCGCTGGGGATGGATGGGGAGGTCGCGCCAAGCTGGAGCCCCCAGGCCCAGAGAAAGAGGACAAGGAGACAGCCCCTGGCTCAGAGTGACCAAGGCCCTGCCTCAGAGCCACACAGCCCCGGGGACCTGGTGCGAAGGGGCGGCTGGGAGCTGCTGGCCCTACTGGCCAGTGCTGGACCCCGGCCTGGCCCTGGGCGGTGAGGAGCGCTTGGCCCGGGGCCCTGTCCCCATCCTCCCTCCCCCGCACACGGGACTCGGCCCTTCCTAGTGTTAAATAGAAACCTCTTTATTCTAAGTATCGAACATTCCTTAATACGCTGGGTCTGGGCCAGACCTTGAGATGGGGGAGGGGGGCTGGGATATTTCTGTTGAGTTTCCAGAACGCCACGCCACGGCCACTGCCACCGCCACCCTGGACCACGCAGGGGAGGAGCCAGAATGCCTCTGTGGCCTTGGGAATCTCCACTCCCGCTGGCCTTTGTGTCCTTCTGGAGGGGAGTTTGGGGATGGGTAAGATGACCCCTGAGGATCCTGCCCCACGAGGCTCTGTCCCAGGCATGGCGTCACGGGGCGGGGCCACCAGCAGCAAGTTGGGGACACTGAGGCACAGCTGGGAGACCCTCAGCGCTGGGCCCGGGGCCTCCGTGGTGACAGGGGCCGAGGCCGCAGGGGCAGACAGGCCAAGCTGGGCCTGGCCAGCCGGGAGAGGGGCAGGCGGCCCAGCACAAGCGGGAGGCCGAGGCAGAAGGACGGGCGAGGCACGGGGATGTCGGAGAAGAAAGCGTGGTCCCGAGGGGGTGGCAGCACTCCGCCCTCAGATAGTTCCAGGTCCCGGGCCACGGCCAGGATCTCCTGCCGGGCAGCTGTGCTGTGCAGGCCACGGACATCGAGCAGGGCGGCCACGTGCTTCCGCCTGGGGACAGAAGATCCGACAGGTGCAGGGTGGTCCTGGACCCACCTGTCTGCCCCACCCAAGCCAGAATCCCAGGAGCTCCTCTGTCCCCCTTCCCAGTGTCACCTCCCTGTCCCTTCCCTCGTCCCAGAGCCGCCCAGCCTTTCCAGATCCTCCCCTTACAATCAACTCCAACAGCCATCACCTCCTCACCCAGTGTAGGATCCTTATCACCCCAAGTCTCAGACCCTGATTAAATTAACCTTTAGTCTTCACTCTGGTTTAGCTCAGTGTCTCCTGAATTTCCACCCAGGGACCAGCACGCCTACGGCATGTTACAGCGAAGCCTCAGCTTCCCTTTACCTTTCCCCAGAAGGCCCACGGCCACGGCTCGGGCAGAACCTCAGCCAGTAGGAGTGCTGGGACCCTCAGGACTGGGGGACTCCAAGATCCGTGCCTTCAAAGGATGTGACCCTGCTCCCCGGAGGCAGACCCTCAGCCGCCCCTCAAGCCCAGACCTGCTCACACCTCCCCTCCATCCTGGGGTTTGTCCCCCTGGTCTGGCTGCTGTCACCACCGCCACCATCGGGCACTCACAGATGGCAATATAGGATGGCGGGCGGTCCAGTGTACAGTACTGGTTTCCCAGCCAGCCAGCTGCCTAGGTTCAAATCCCAGCACTGACACTTGCTAACTGAGAGCTGCACGCTGCAGGGCAGTTACTTGCAAGTGGTTTCTGAAGTAGCTTCAGGGTCGGGGATGTAGCTCAGTGGCACAGCGCCTGCCTGGCGAGCGTGAGGTCTTGAGTTCTACTCCCGGTACCAAAATAAAGTAGCTTCAATTCCACCCCTTATAGGGTACTCATATGAGATGCTTGTTGAGAGCTGGGTGTGGTGATGTACACCTGTAAGCTCAGCGTTTTGAGAGGCTGAGGCAGGAGAATCCAAAGTTCAAACCCAGCCTGGGCAACTTAGACTCTACTCCCGACCCCCGCAAAAAGAGCTGGGGATGTAACTCAGGGTGAAGGCTCTGGGGTCAATCCCCCTAGTCTGGGGGGAAGGTGCTTATTTAGGACTAAGGACTCAGCAGACATGTCACCCATGCCAACGATGGTGAATTCCCCAAGAATCCCACGAAGGCGCACTGTCCTCCCTACGGCAGATGAGGAAGCTGAGGCTCAGAGAACGTCACACAGAAAGGAAGCGGCCCACGAGGATCTGGATGGTGCCCGCGGCTGCTCCAGTGCGTGTGTGCCCCGTGCCCAGCGTGTCCCCGCGTCCCCCGGGCTCCCTGCCGGGCTGGCCCTTCCTGCCGGGCTGCCCGTGCCCCCCTGCCCTGGGCTTCCTGTGACCGCCTGTTTGTTTGTGAGCCCTGGTGGCGGTGGCGGCAGTGGTGCCGGCGGCGGCAGAAGGAGGGAAATCGTATTAATAATGCCCTGGTTCCAGCAGGAAACGGCCGTCAGACACGCTCGCCGCCTCCCGCCCTTGCCCAAGAGGCAGGAAACGGGACGGAGGCCAGGGCTGCGGAGACCTGGCCGGCAGGCAGCAGGCGTCAGGCCAGCTCTCACCTGATGTCAGGGTAGTCACGCACCAGCACGGCCACCTCCACCTGGATGCTGGGGGTGTCCTCCAGCTGCAGCACCTCGGCCAGGTGTGGCACCACAGCGTCCAGCCACGAGGCCTGGGACTCCTGTGGAAGGGTGCAAGGCTCACTCTGTGCCCTGTGCCCTCCCCAAATACCCTTCCACAAGAGGTGGGCTCTGCCTTTCTAGCTCCTCCTGGCCTGTTTCCCCCATTTATAAAAAGGGTCAGTAATCCTAGCACTCTGGGAGGCTGAGGGAGGAGGAGTACAAGTTCCAACCCAGCCTGGGCAGTTTAGTGATTTACCAAGACCTTGCTTGTCTCAGTAATAATAAAAGCTCTGGGAATGTAACTGAGTGTGAAGACCCTGGATCAAATCCTTAGTTTAAAAAAATAAGTCAGAAGACACTAGCCAGAGGTTATCTAGAATCTTCAGGCATTTGAAGGAAAATCAATACTAGTTCTGCAGATAACTGGGGCTAGGCGACCCAAGCTGGAAACCTAGTGCAAGGTTACAGAATATGTCGCCATTCCAGGGAAACTGGATAGAGCCTATCCAGGGCACTGCGCACCCTGTCTTAGAACCGCAGGCAAATCCACAGTTGTCTCAGAAAGTTTCCAAAACAAAAACGCTTTCAAGGATTCCAGGGGAGAACATGGGAAAGAGCAGTGAGGTCCTTCCAGCCCTGCTGGCTGCAGCTGAACAGAAAGACTTGTCTGTCTCCAGTTCTTCCACTGGGATCCTGAGTGACTGTTGCACTTAGTTTTTTGGTGGGTGTTGGGTACCGGTGATCGAGAACAGGTTTTTGCACTGAGCTACCTGTCTAGCCTAGACTTGAAGTTGTGATCCTCCTGCCTCAGCCTTCCAGAGTGCTGAGATTACAGGCGTGTGTCACCACACCAGGCTGCACTTAGCTTTGACTATGCTCATAGTAATAATAGGTAACGTTTATGGGTGGCAGCTCGGAAGGGAACCACCGGAGCGCTGTAACAGAAATTAAATGATGGACTCCTTCAACCCTCACAGAGATCTTCTTATTTCGGGGGCTGAATAAAGCACCTGGCAGGTACTTTCCTAGAGAGAAACGATTTTCCAAGCCAAGGGTGGGTCAGGGGGTCCTGCGCTGCTGTCCCCCAAAGCCCTAGGGCGGGGCCGCACTCACCAGCCGCCTGAACAGCCGCTGCAGCTGCGCCGCGTCCTCCCGGAGCCTTCCGGCCACACGGCTGCGCGTCCGCGCGGAGCGGCAGCGCAGACGCCCGCGGAGCAGCGGCCGCACGTACTCCACCAGCGCGCGCCGGTGCAGCTCGGCCACCAGCGCCTGGGACCCCGGAGGGACAAGGAGGTAAGCGCTCCAGTGCCCAGCACTCACCCGCCAGGCCGCGGGGGACCCGTCCCGACGCTCCCCTCCCCCAGCCTTCCAGCCCGAGGGGCCTCCGGACTCCCACGGGTGATCGTGTCTACCCACTGTCACCCTGAATCTGCCCGCAGACACCTCCTTCTGGCCCCCGAAGGATGCCCCATTATATAGCCTCCCCCATGGACCCTAGCCTGGCCCTGCAGCCCAGTTCCCAGGGGCGCGCCTGTCCGCCCCATAGATCCCCACGCGAAGTGCAGGGGTCCTGAGGGAGCCCCGCAGCACGTAGCACGCCGCACCTGGTAAGGTTCGTCCTGCATCCTGCGCAGCGCCAGGGCCTGCGCGCCCAGAGTGCCCACGATGCCGTCCAGCGCCTCCGGGCTGCTCAGCCACTTCCGGCGCATCAGCTTGTTGAAGTGCGGCTGCGGGGACAGAGTGCAGGCCGGTCACCGCCTCGTCCTTCACTCTTCTCTCAGGAGAGGGATCTCCAAGCCCTGCTGCGGCTGACCCAGAGCTGGGCCATGCTCAGGGACACCGCTGGGAGGATCCAGCACGTGCCCTGCCCTGCCCTGCTGGGGCTCGAAGCTGGCGCACAGGGAGAGACAGATGGGGCCCAGATGGTAAAAACCCAGAGCTGGGAGGACTAGGACTTTGGAGCACAGAGTCCAGGAAGAGACACAAAGCTGAGACCCCAGTGCTGGTCACTGCTAGCGGAGTGAGGAGGGAGTGAAGAAGCCTCCGATTTCAGACAGCAGGCGGAGTCCAAGGGGTCTGAGGACCAGGACAGGGGTCACAGAGGCAGGCAAGTCCACCTGCATATTGAATTCTCCGCCCAGGGCAAAATGAAAACACGCGAACCAAGCTGAGAAATGATTACCATCTTTAAGACAGAGACTGCGGAGCATTAACCAAGCCTGCGCTTTGTAAAGTGCGTGTCAGGGAACTGTGTGACCGGAAGCCCAGGCGCATGGAAGCTGCTCAGAGGCCCAGGGCAGGACCTGCCATGGCTCCCCAGGCCCGGGGAGGAAGCAGGGAGCAGCAGGCAGAAACTAGGGAGGAGGCGGAGGAGAGCGGAGGAGAGCGGAGGAGAGCGGAGGAGAGCGGAGGAGAGCGGAGGAGAGCGGAGGGTTCACAGGAGGCCGGCCACCTGGAGAGGGTGGGGCCCGGGCAGAGCGGGACAGAGCCTCCGAGCACCACCGGGGGCTGGGAGGGAGCAGAAGGCACAGACAGTAGGGGTCCCCATCCCACGCAGTCACAGGACCCCTTTTCCACACTTTCCAGTGAGTTTTCAAAACTTCCAAAAATAGGGCTTTTTAATTTTTTTTTTTTTTTTTTTCAGTACCGGGTATGAACTCACGACCTTGTGCTTGCCAGGCAGGCACTTATGCCACTGAGCTATATCCCCAGCCCAAAATGAGGCTTTTTAAAAATAGAAACAAAAACAAAAAAAAAACTGGGCGCAGAAGTAACGTGCAAAACAGCCCCCCTTCTCCCAGTGCACCTGAATTCCCTACACCTTCCTGCGCGCCCACAGCCCCTCAGACCCACACTGAACAGACCCTAGTCTCCTCTCTGTCTCTAATGTTCCCCCCTCTCTGTCCCACTGTCTCACCCAATCTCCCTCCTTCCCTTTCTCTCTCTCTTGGGCTGGTGATATAGCTCAGTGGCAGAACACCTGCCTGGCAAGCATGAGTCCTGAGTTCGATTCCTGGTACCACAAAAAAAAAATCCTTTCTCTCTCCTTCCCTCTCTCTCTGAGAACATATAGAGTGGTTTATAGAAAGAATTCTAGGGGCTGAGGATTTAGTTCAGTGGCATAATGCCTGCCTGGCAAGCATGAGGTCCTGAGTTCGAGTTCCGCTACCAAACAAAATAATAAAAGAAGAAAAAATGTGTATTTCAAGAAAGGATTCTAGACTGAGCCAGGTCTCCCTGGCTGCGGCTGCCCGGCCTAATCCCAGTCTTGGCTAAGTAGAGCCCCTAGTAAACCCTTCTCCCAGGAGCACGACGAGAATTAAGTGAGCTGAGGCTCTCCCAGCTTAGTCCCTGGCATGGAAGACAGAGTTTGCTGTTACTGCGAAGTCTGTACCTGATGACATCAAGGAATCATTGTTCCACTTGTTAGATATAAAATGACACTGTTAAATGCCTGCAATCCCAGCGTTTAGGGAGGCCGAGGCAGGAGGACTGCAAGTTTGATGCCCACTTGGGCTACATAGTGAGTTTGAGACTGGCCTGCACTACATTGTAGGACACCTCCCCTCCATGAGGTAGTTGGTTATATTTGTTTAAAAAAGATTTCTTGTCTTTTGGAGATATAGGGGGATAGAGGAAATGACAGAATTCCATGGCGGAAGGGTGGGGCATGGCTCAGTGGGACCCAGGCTCCTTGCAAGCCAGAGGCCTCGGGTCCCATCCCCAAGAAGCAAATAATTGGGGAGGTGGGGGGAGGGGAAACAAGATTGTCGAGAAGTGCCATCTGCGTACATGGGGGTCATTCTGTCTGCTTGGGATTATGGACACCTGAAGTTTTCTGTCATGAAGTTATTTTAGAAAACTTCCGCCATGGAGATATATGATCTTGCTCAGGCTGGGCTCAAAACTGGGATCCACCTGCCTCAGCCTCCCAGAGTGCTGAGATCACACGTATGTGCACCATGCCTGGCTGAGAAATATGTTTTTGTTGTATTGGTAATTGAACCCAGGACAGTGCACTGAGCTACATGCCTTGTCTTTCTATGTTTAAGTAAATAAATAAACTTATTTTTTAAAAAAAGAAAACTTCCACCAATCCCTCCACTTGAACAGCTAACATTCCAGTGGGAGGACCCAGATTTTAAGGTAATAATAAAAAGAGCTGAGGATACAGCTCACTGGTAGAGCTTGCCTAGCAGGTACCAGGCCTGGGGCTCCATCACCAGTGCCACAATAAATACATGAGGATACAGACGGCAGGTGACAGTAAGTGCTGTGGGAGACAAACAGAGCAGAAAGTCAGAAGAAGTCTCGGGCTTCTTCTTTTTCTTTTTTTTTGGTTTTTCTCCGGTACCGGGAACCGAACTCACGACCTTGCGCTTGCCAGGCAGGCGCTTTTGCCGCTGAGCTAAATCCCCAGCCCCCGGGCTTCTTCTTTTTCAGAGACAGGTTCTCACTATGTCGCTCAGGCTGAGCCTCAACTCCTGCCTCAGCCTCCTGGGTAGCTGGGACTAGGGCGATTCTGTGTGAAGTGGGATGATCAGGGATGGTTTCATGGAGAAGGTGATATTTCAGGCAAGATGAGGAAGACGTGAGCCGGGGAACTGTGGGGCGTTTGGCCTGAGAATGGCAAGGGCAGAGGCCTAGGGGCCGCTGTGGCTGGAGTAGGCGAGCAGGGGCCGAAGGTTGAGAGGGGCAGGAGACGGGGTGTGCAAGGCTACAAGAGCCAGGACGAGGTCTTCGACTTTCATTAGGAGGATTCAGAGGAGGGAAAGGGGATCCCGGGCATAGATTTGGGGGCCGCAGAGGGGAGGCTCCACTGGAGCTCCTGTCTGGGGTGGCTCTTGTCCTCCTGTTGGCTGCTTCCTCCCGTGTCCTTCCTGTACCCGCCCCCACCCGTCACCCCTACTCGGCCTGTTTCCCCAACACCGAGTCCTGGGCAGAGAGGACTGCAGGGCCCTCGGTCCTGACACGGCCCCAGCCCAGGCCCCGCCTCACCTGCAGCTCCTGGAAGAGCAGGTCGGCCAGGACGCGGTGGCACAGCCGGGTCACGCGGTCCAGAGCGCTGGCCGAGGCTTCCCGGGCCGGCTCACTTTCGGGGGGCCCTACCCTGGCCAGGCGCTCGGCCAGAGCTCTGTGGGGATCAAAGCAGAAACAGAAGTAAGGAAGCCTGAATGTCTCAGCCCAACCACCTGGGCCAGTCCCCTCTTCCAAGGAGAGGAGAAAACAGAGGTAGGTCAGAGGCTCAGGGAAGGTCTAGGGGCTAGAAAGTGTCACGGGAAGCCGGGACTGGTGCTGCACGTCTATAATCGCAGGGCTCAGGAGGTTGAGGCATAAGGATTCCCATGAGTTCAAGACCAACCCAAATAAACTACAGGGCAAGATCCTGTTTCAAAACAAAACAGCCAGGCATGGTGGCGCACGCCTGTAATCCCAGCACTCAAAAGGCTGAGGCAGGAGGATCATTACAAGTTCAAGACCAGCCTCAGCTACAAAGTGAGATCAAGGCCAGCCTGAACTGCATATTGAGACCCTGTCTCAAAAAGATTAAAAAATAAATAAATAAAACATAAAAACAAAACAGTTTGGATTTGGGGTGTCAGGGAAGATGTGGAACATTTAGGGGATGGAGGAATATTGGGGGACTGGGGATGTCTGGAGGCTGGAGGACATCTGGGGGGCTGAGGGGATATTGAGAGTGTGAATGGTATCTGGAGGGGTGGGCAGATGTCAGGAGGCATGGAGATTTCTGGGGGAGTCTCGGGTATTTGGGGGCAGAGAGGCCTCTTGGGGGTCTTTATTTCTCTGAGTGTGTGCGTGTGTGTGCGTGTGTGTGTGTGTGTGTGTGTGTGTGTGTGTGTGTGTGTGTACTGGGGGTTGCTGCCAGAGCCTTCACACTGAACTACAACTCCAGCCCTTTTAATTTTTTACTTTGAGAGAGTCTCGCTAAATCACTAAATTGCCCAACCTGGGCTGGAATTTCAATCCTCCTGCCTCAGCCTCCCACAGTGCTGGGATTACAGATGTGTACCCGCCCTCTCCCTTGGTGCTCTCTGGGGGACAGTGACATGGCCTCCATTCTGTCTGTGGTTCTCCACTTCATCTGCAGTTGTGCAATTCTGCCCTGGTCTCTCACCACTGCGGCAGGCTGTGCTTCCCTGAGCCCTGCTCCCCTTCACCTAAGAAGCAGCCCTCGGGGCCAGCGGGATGCTAACAGGAGGTGGCACGTGTCCTGGAAAAGTAGAACCAATGTCCATGCATCAGGGACAATGAAACAAACAATGAGACCGCCAGGGAGTAGATTACATACAGTTCCAATGGTGATTTTTTTTTCTCTGTGCTGGCGACGGAAGCCAGGGCCTCACACCTGCTGGGCAAGTGCTGGCTGCTAAGCCCCAGGCCCAGCCCAGAGCTCGAGATGCTAAGTACAACAGAAGCTGTCCAGGCTGCTAAGTCGTGGAGGGAAGGAGCAGCCACCATGCACTGCCACCACGGCCAGCCCTCCACATCCACAGCGCTGCCTCTATGGCTTCAAGCAACCATGGATGGAAAATATTCAGGAAAAAAACTGCTTCTGTATCAGACATGCATAAATAAATTCAAAAAATGAAATTTAAAATAAGTCAACACAAAGATAAAAGAGCAAAATAATAATTCTTAGAATCATTGAGTCTGGCTTCTGTTTTCTATAATTTTTCTTTGTCTTCTTTTTTTTTTTGGTTGGTGTTTTCAGACAGGGTCTCGATACGTAGTCCAGGCTGGTCTTGAGCTCACTATGGAGCCTCAAACTCATGGCGATCCTCCTGCCCCAGCCTCCTGACTGCTGGGATCACAGGCGTACAGCACTACACCTAGAGGCTACTATGACTGTCACACCTTAATATTTGGTTCCGGTTCTACTCCTCCATGATGCTACAGCTGTTTCTAGGACTCCAGGATTTCATGCTCCTAAGGTCACCCTGAGCCAACATGTGACATGCACCCTCCCTGCATCAGTTCTGTGATCCCCACCCAGGAACCAACGCCCTAATTCAGCTGCCACCTGGAACCGCTCTGACACATGGGGGTCGTATGGGGGTGCTCTCACCTCAGGGGGGGCCCGCAGTTGACCAGGGCGATGGTCCTGCTGATGTAGGTGTCAGGCGGCAGCTCCCGGATTCCCGGGTTCTCATGGAATCGCTCTACGCGCTGCTGGAAGCTGGCGGAAGGAGGGGCAGATGGCAGGGGTCCATGCGGCCTGCGGTCCTGATCCCACCACTCCTGTGCCCACTTTTTTGGTTTTTTTTTGTTTGTTTTTTTCTGGTACCGGGAATTGAACTCACGATCTTGTGCTTGCCAGGCAGGCACTGTGCCACTGAGCTAAATCCTCAGCCCCATGTGCCCACTTTTTGGGTACTGGAGGTTAAACCCACGGCCTTTGGCACTGATCCAGATCCCCAGCCCTTTTAAATTACTACCTTTTTAATTTAATTTTCATTTTGAGATGGTCTTGGAAAGCTGCTAAGCTGCCCAGACTGGGCTCAGACTTGCAGTCCTGCCTCAGCCTCCCGGGTGCTGGGATTCCAGGCTTGTGCCACGGTGCTCCGCTCCTGCTCACCTTAGCACCATGCCCACTCACCTCTCTGGCAGACCCCAGTTCTGATGCCCAGCCCCAGGCCTGCCCCCCGCAGCCCCATACCTCTGCAGGAACTCTGCCAGCCCGCCCAGACAGCAGTGTGCCATGCGCTCCCCTAACTCCTGGCTGATGCGGGGTGCTCGCTCCGTGTGCTCTTCCAGCAGCTGCACAGGCCAGGGGACAGGAGGTAAGGTACGGTGGGCCCCCTCCTGCCCTGCCCCACCCAGCGGATCCCCCTTCCTCTGTCCTCCTACCTCACACACGTCCTGGGCCAGGCCGCTGGTCCGGTCCTCCAGGTCCCCCCAGTGTTCCTCGTCCTCCTGCAGCACCCGAAGCAGGGCTGCCCGGGTCTGAGCCTGGAGAAGTGGGGAGACAGGCAGGGTCAGGGCTGCGCCCTTGCATTCCTGAGGCTAGGGTCTGACACACGAATAACCACGGAGTTGAAAGGTCGACATCTCCTTGTGGGATGGTGCTGCGAATGCTGCTTCTAGGTCCTGCTGAATGATCAAGACTGTCAGCTTCTGGGGTTGGAGAATTGCAGAGGTTTAAGCATCTCGGATGCTCCCACCCGATGGGTGGTCTTCAATTTAGCAAGTGGGTTTAGCTGGAAATGTTCGATTCTCCAGGCTCTGGAGCGGCAAGGATCCGATTTCTGTGGCTGGGGCAGGCCTGGCACTCAGACAGGAAATGCCACTGTTGCCAAGCTGGGCATGGTGATCAGGCCACTCTGCTTAGGCATGCATGTGCCCAGCCTGAGTTAACCACGTTTACTCTCAGCCTCTCGGGGGGCAAAGCTGCTTTGAGGCCGACGCTGGGAGTTTGGGCCATGGCTAGGCTCCTCTTGCTCTGAGGTTTGAAGGCTCCTGCCATACAGGACCATGGCCAACTATTCCTACTCCCCAGGGGGAGTGCTTGGGGTGTAACATGGGATATGGAAATGATCGGTCTGGGCTTGTACAGCTCTGGCCTTTGGGCAGAACTCAGAGGCTCACAAAAGGAAAAGGGACAGAAAAATGGTAAAGACGGGAGAGGCCCCCAACCTCACCACGAGCCCTCCCCCGCTGCGGAGCCCCTCTCAGCCCCAAATGACAATGCTGAGTCCCAGGTACCTTGACATCTGTGACACATTCATCCTCCAGACCCCGCAGAGTGCCGGCGGACAGGAGGGGCCCCAGCTCCCCATTCTCCAGAGCGACCATGTCCACCAGCCCTAGGACCTCCCTGGGGGAGAGGGCAGAAGACAGGGAGGCCTGTGAGGGGGGAGTGGGTGATGGGACACCTCGTGCCTCACACCCACTGTTTGTCACCCTGGGCCACTCCCTTCCTCTCTCTGGGCCAGCGTTGCTCATCTGAGAGGAAATCTTTGGAATGGCTGCTCCTCTGGCTCCAGCTTTCTGAGTCACCTGATGGATGGTGTCCGGGCAAGACCTCTGGGGTCAAGTTCGGGCTTGATGATCTGACAATGGGACATCGCTCATGATGGCCTTCCCCAGACAGAAGCTCCCTTCTGCCTCGCTCCTCTGCCTTGGTGCCCGCCGCTTGGCGTGGCCCCCACACTCCTTCTCTGCCCCCTATGCCTGGGCTGGGAACCCCTGTGCCTCCCCACCCCAGCCTCACCCACACTTTGCTCATGGCATCTGGTCCATCAGGAACATCATCTTACAAATCGGACTCAACCCTGTCCCACAGCTCCGGGAAGCTGTCCAGACTCCCCGGCCTGCCTCCTCTTCTCCCGGATGGGCTGCACTGACAGCCTCAATGACGTGTGTCCGAATGGATCTACGGGGCTGGTGTTCTCCGGGTGACAGCTCCTGACTTTGACAGAGGAGCCACCCATCCCTTCACTAGCCAAGGTGTGGTTTGGGTACGGCCGAGCTCCCTATCCCTGGAGTGGACCCAGGGGGAGCTAAGCACCCTATCCTTTCCTCCAGTCACAAGAGGGGTATGTTTCACGGTTTAAAGCTCCATGGATTCCAACGCTGGGAGGTCAAGGACCCTGAGGTTCTAGATGCTGCAGTTATAGCATCCGAGGGGCCCATAGTACAGCAGTTCTAAAACTAGGAGGGACAGCAGGGTCAAGGTCTAGGACCCAAAGAGGGCAGGGGGCTGCGGGGCGGGATTGGAAGGTTCCTTGGCACTAAGGGCCTAGAGCTAAAGAATCATAAAGCCACAGTGTTAAAACTGAAAGTATTGCTAGGCGTGGTGGTGCTCGCCTGTAATCCCAGCACTCAGGAGGCTGAGGCAGGAGGATCCTTGTGAGTTGAAGGCCACCCTGGGCTACATAAGTGAGCTCAAGGGCAGCCTGAACTACATAGTGAGATCCTGTCTCAAAAAGAGAAAAAAAAAAAAAAAAAAGAGATCTAAAGCATCAACAGCACTAAGGCCCTAAGATCTAGACACAGAGCAGGGTAAGGACTCTGGAGTTCTAAGGCTCAACAGTACCAAGCCTGAGGGTCAGCAGGGCAGAGGGCCTAGCGTGGGCGTGGTCCAGAGTGCTGACACCTGAGGACGGGAGGGGGACGACTCCAGTGACCTGAGACCTGCAGCCCTCACTGAAGGGTCCACTGCACACAGCTACCAGGACTGCCCTGGTCAACCAGGATGAAATTTTATAGTTTTTGTTTTTTGTTGGGTGCTGAGATTTTAGAACTGGGAGAATCAGTGGGGCCGTGTGCTAGGGCCGGAAGGGCAGGTGGTGCTACAGTTAGAAGACTGGAAGGATCAAGCTGCCTGAGATTCTAGGAGTGGAACCGTCTAAAGCTCAGGTTCTAGGTCTGGGGATTTATGGGGCTACAGGAAAGGGAGGGTGGGCTCTGCTCAGAACCCGGAAATGCAGGTGCGGACAGGGCCCAGGTTCTGGGCCTGGAGTACCCCGAGGCTCTCTGACCAAGGGGAAGGCGGGCAAGGTGGCAGCGGTCAGCGCTGATTCGAGGGCTGTGACCACCGCCAGTGCTGCACAGGACCGTTTCAATGGAGTGAGTCGGAGACCTGTTCCAAGGTCCGTGGGGTCTGCAGCGGCCGGGCTAGGGGTGAGGCCGAGGGGGCGACGTGCCAGCACCGGTCCCAGCTCACCTGGGGTACACCTGGTTGTGCCAGTGCAGCAGCGCGTAGCGGTCGGCCAGCGGCAGCCTGCGGCGGGCGGAGGCCCCCAGCCACTCGGCCAGCGCACCGTGGTAGCCGCGCAGGTAGACGCCGAAGGCGCCCAGGCCGGCGGGGTAGGCGGGGGCCAGGCGGCCACGCACCACGGCCATGTCCTCCAGCAGCCGAGAGCGCAGCGCCTCCAGCTGCCCGGAGAGGCCCCCGGGCGCCCC